TAATACTAATAGTTATGGAAATCTGAAGGCCGTATCTTTCACTTTAAGAAGCTTGAAAAGCTGTGAATGACTGAAACTCCACACAAACCCTCAAAGCCCTTCGGCAATAAATAACAGGCAAGATTACATATTACCATTCATCCTATCAAGGTAACTGAATCATGGCTCCTTACACCCTGCAGTTGTATTAGGTAAAACCCCCTTCAGTGTGGTGTCTAATCACCATGCCTCCCTCATTAAGCATTCTAAGTGGCTTTTAAAACATGTACAACATGTTTAAAGCACAGCCGGTGATGTCCAAAACAAAGACTTAGTCACAATGACAATCACCCTGGAGCAGCATGCTTGTATCCCTGATAAGCTGTTTGCAAGCACACAGGGAAAGCAGCCAAGACATGGTATTCTAGTAGGAATTTCAAACTAACCTGTTAGCTCTCCAACCACAAAGGCAGTCTCTTCTCATCATTTTGTTACTTCTTAAAGGGAAACTACGGTGCCAATTTCTCAGACCGGCTACTAAATCTCGGTCACAAAATTAATGAGACGTTATTGCAAAATGTTGACAAAATTCCGAATGAAGCACAAAATCGCGAACTTTGTGAAACTACCATATGGACGCCTTATTGTTGCAAACCCCCGTCTCACCACGGCCGAGAGCGAGACTTTGCAAGAACTGCGACGGAAACGGGCCCGTCCCGTAATGACTAATGTCATGTGATGCACGAGCAAATACGTACAGGTTGTGTGGCAGAAACGCTCCAATGTGATCTGGACGCAGAGTAGTATTTGTCAGCAAAAGCGTCCCGATGTCAAGAGCAATATTTCTATTGGATTAAAAAGATTCACAAGCCTGCTTGTTCACAATATAACTGGGCCAATTCACGTCACAGGAAGATTTCTTGCCTTGTTCTGAACCCCTGTCAATGACAGCAATATGGGGCTGTGTAAAATTGGAGGTTTTACACATTTTACATTTGTTGCGGCTTGAAATGCACTTCTCAATGCCAATTCTTTCTAACCCCGCAATATAAAAATAGCATTGCGGTTCCCCTTTAAAGTTTTCTTCAAAGAACTCCTCACCGGACTGTTTCCACAGTGCACGTCTGGTACAACGGACTGAAGAAAAGCCACACTTCCCCGCCTCTACACCTCTGTAAGCTGTCAGCACTGGCCGCAATCTGCTCAACCACAAACACCCAGCCAGCAAGAAGTGCTCGTTACCGGTACAGCCTGCAGCAGCCCCCTCTCTCTCAGAAGGCAAGACGACAGGAAGGAGGAGCTCCACCTTGGACTGCAGGGTGCGCTCACACAGCCCGTTTCAGAGACGCCCAATGAACCTACTCGGCACGTCTCTGGGAGGCAACAGAGGAAACGGAGCGCCTGGAGAACAGTCACGGGGAGAACATGGAGACTCCACACAGAATCGAACTCGAGGGCCCCTGAGGAAGCAGCTCTTCCCTCACCAAATTCAATATTTGAAAAACGGAGTATCTGAAGATTTGACTTTCTTCATATTTGAATTTGTATAGTTGATATTATTCATTGAAACTGATTTTTTTCCAATATATTACGTATAAAATATCTTTGAATATTTGAAGGGGGGGGAGACTGTTAAAGTGTGCAGAATTTAGGACTGATGTTTCATAATTTGTTCGTTTTGTGGGGGGGGGCCCATTCACCACCAGCTACCAAATCTATACCACCGCCTGGGGGCCCAGGGAGCCCCAAACTTAACTAGTGCTCTAAGCACATACTCTTACCTGCTGAACCCCTAAAGAGCACCCAGGGAGACGTCACTGTTACTATCCCTGGAGGGCGTAAATGGACCACTTAGATTTTTGTATTTGCATTGTCTGTTTCTAGTATAATAAAAAGCTTTGCTTGTAGTAATTCCATACTGAACCAAGTGTGTTTTAACAGTGGCTGGCCTTTATATTTCAGTCATATTCACGTTCACAGTAAAAATTTGCTAGGAAAAAACAAACTATGGTGGGGAAACACCAGTAGCAATGGAAGGAAATGGAGTTGGGTCCTCAACTTGAGGTAACCAACACAGCAGGTAACACTGTTTTCAACAGAGAGACACAAACCAAAGGATAGAAGTGGAATTCTAGGTGGAGGTGCATTAAAACACAAGAACAGAAGTCCCTGTTACTTTACTGTTAGGGGTGTGGGAGTGTACCCTGGCAGCTTTCAAGACATGGCTGGGTGTGATTATTGTATAAACTCTAATTTTCAATTTTAAATGCCATTTTTTTAGCCATTTTGTTCATGTCTTGATATGGGCCCTAAATCCAGGCTGCACCTTGAATCTCAAAGTCACACAACACATAAAAGAAAACAAAAGATTTCCTCTGCCGCCTCAAAGAAGCAGGTGGTGATTTTTTAAAGATGCGATAAGCGAGGTTCCCTATTTTCTCTCCCCGAACCGAAAGGGCTGCTGTCCAGATGCTCAGCTGTGGAGTATGTCTATTACTTCTCACACCCAATTGGTACTTTTACCACAGTGCAGAGAGAAGATAAGCCTGTGGTTCTCTTTCGAGTTCCTTTGTGACTAGGCGGCTCCTGGACTAATCTGAAGCACATTTAAAGAGTGAGGTGCTTGCTTATGAAATCCATCGGTGATTAAAAGAATCAGTGATCAAACCACACCACTAACTTGCAGAGGGCCGACTGGGCACAGAACAGAGGTCATCACATGCATACATCTACAGGCAGTGCCTGTTTAAACAACTGTAAACAGCTTGGTATATGACCACATGGAGCATCTATAACAAGAATATACGCGTGGAAGAATGACAAAAAAAAACAAGCAGCTCAGCACCACACTTGTTTTTCAAAGGCAAACTGGAAGCATTTATCAAGATTAACGTTGAACCATCCTTTTCACATTACAATCTAATAATCTTAAATTCGGTTTAAAACCAGGTCGTGAACCATCATATACTGTTATACATACTGGTTTATATACTTTTTTTTCTTCCAAAATGAACTGGAAATCACACCTTCGGCACAAACATCATGGTATGCCCCCCCGACTGGAACAATCCACAATGACAACTCTCAACTCCAGCACTGACCCAAGTTTGTTTTTTCCCCCACAACATACAGAAACAAGTCAGCGCCTGAGCCCGCAGGGGCTGCCCACAGCATAGGCAGCAGAAGGTCGCTCCCCAGTTGTCTGAGGCCCTGCTCTGGAAGGACCACCCTCCAAGTGAAAGGTCAGCTCAGGCTGCTGCAGGCCTGTCCTTGTGGTGTCAGCCCCGGTCACTCCCCTGTCCATGAACACACACGCACCCTTTTTACCGGCAGTGGCTCCCATTAATGCCGATTTGTACTAACTTAAACACTTGGAAGGATCTAAGCATGTAAATGTTCTCATCAAACAGAAATGCAGATTGACACAGCTTTCTGGTCCATGTTTTCAGCCAAAGAAAAAAATGTTATCAGATTATCATCAATTACCTGATGCAAATACAACAATCTAGTCATTTTGTGGTGGTCTTAAAAGATCACTCCTTCCAAAGTGTTACAGTGTCTCTTTTTGTCCTACAAAGGCCTACCTTTTTCACCAGAACCTAAAGTGAACGCAGAAACTGAGATTTCCAATCCGCTCCCTTCTCGCGCCAACACAAAGAAAAAAAAAAATCTCGCCAGAGAAATTTCCATCCCGTCCGAGACGGCGCAGTCATGATGTAAACTAATGCACATGCCCGGCAAGGACATGTGCAAACAGCAGCTTATCTCCTCTGTCATCTGCTCCTAATGACAGCTGACAAACTACCAATGCAAATCTTTACAGAGCTGCTGATGAGCTAGAACCCTCCTCCCCCACAAACCCCCCCACCCACCCCCAGCCCCCAGGAAAATCCAGCCCAGCACAGCGCTCGAAAATTCCTCTAGCTTCTGCTGCTCTACTCAGAAAAGTGGTTTCCTTTCTGCCGAGATAATAGCCTGCCCTTTCATCACATGACAGAACTGACAACGGCATAGCTTCATAGCAACGGACTTGGTTGTGCATTTTTACACAAGAGAGAGAGGCGCCTATTGTTTCCTGACTCTGCTCTCTTTCACTTTCAATGAAACCTAAAGCTTTAGAGGAAACTCTGTTTTCTCTTCACCACTGCTGGGACCAAACGCCGCGGCTTTAAACACATTACTCCCAAGTCGAATAATAATTTCTTACAGTGCCCTGGGCTGCCCGTTATCTCATTAAGACGCACATTTTAAGGTCTTTCCCTTGTCATAATAAGAACATTCCTCTTTCACCCACCTGAAGTCAAGTGCTTGTGGAAAGTGATGTCAGGACTCCCACACAAACCACATCACACACTTTCTAAGCAATGAAATTTGCTGACTATCTGGTCGTGCATTTTAAGTGAAAACGAGGTGCCTAGATTTGACGATCTGCTTGCTTTGTGTCTCTGTCAAATTAGTGACGAAACGATTTTTTAGTAAATCCTGACTTCATGTGAATGAAGGAAGGCCTTACACATGGGATATACTCCTAATGAGGTATGCTAATGGTAAAAACAGGAAGTGGATTGTTTAGCAGAGAGGATGTCTCGTAATCTCCTTAAACGCAGAGACTTTGAACACTAATGGTATCACTCTTTCTAAATGAAGCAGCCATTTTCCTCTACTGAAGTACAGCCTTTCAGGAGTTTCCAGAAAAATGATTTGATGATGTAGTACACCATAACCATCTGAAGCCAAAAGACGTCAGACAAAACTATTTTGTCCATCTTTCTGCAACAAAATACAGTTTTCTGACAACATTTAACCGCCAGTCATGGATCCCCAGTGTAACTTGGGAAGCTAAAACTACACTCTAAAAAAAAAAAGGTGACACTATCACCGCAATGCATGATTTCAACAGCTGATGTGTTGGAAGAGAGGTTAAGGCCCAGCAATTATTACGCAACAGGCACGCAGCCTTCTGTCAGCACTGCTGATAGAAAAGGGTAACAATTTGGTTCAGTAGGTTTTGATCGGCTCACCTTGGCTTTAGTCCAAACACGCCCCTAGGGCATTTCTGCAGCAGTAGAATAACTGGTAATCTTTAGTCATCATCCACTTCTCTCTGTTAAGGAAAGACACCTGTTGTTAGACAAAATCTGCATTTACAACTTAATGATTTGCCTGCTGAAAATCAAACACGAGGAATAGACCCCCCCTGGTGTGCTATACAGTTCTTGGTTTATTCGGTAAATGCTGTTAATAAAATAATATTTAATAGCTTCATGATTTTGTAAAAGATTGTTTTAGACAGACGGGCAAATCCAAAGCTGGCTACAAAAAATAAAATGAACACTGGGCAGAGTTCTCTATTCCTGCTCCTGGAGTTTTTGTGTGCCTCCCAGGTTTTTTTCTTTTGTATCAAATCGGCTCTTCGGCAAAATTACAAGATTAACGAAACTTGTTTGAGTTTTATCCTTCTCCGTTTGAGAAATGGTCTTGTGGTGCGAAATGTTACAACAGAACTGTTTTCAAACTGGCTTACATGTGCGCTTTCCCACAGCTTTCAAAACAACGCCTAAGTGGTTAGTAATTAAGCTTGTGGTACGTCCTCATCTAGGAGCGACTGTCAAATTCTCACATTATAAAAGGTAAATAAAAGGTTCCAGTAGCTCTACAAGCTCCAAAATGTCAAGAGGGAACAGTAAAGCTGAACTGTTATTTCAACCCAGCAAGGGAAAGTCCACCATTTATTTACGATTTATTTTCGACATGACAAACTACCTTAATGCACAGGATAACTGCAACAACAAACAGCATCATAAGGAACAAAACCAAAGAGCAAAATCTTTTTATGAATGGCCTAAATGCCGCGTATCTAAATTCAGCTGTAAATTCACTGAAAGTTTACAGTAAAAATAAAAACCTACACTATACAGGAATTATAAACAAAGACTCTCCCAAACACAAGAAAATCACATCATTCTTTATTACTTCTTTATTTTCAAAATATTTGTTAAGTTGTGTTGACTATTAAATTCTGACAAAAATAACCAACACTTTAATAAACTTAAGAATTTCACATTTTTTAAAAATCTAACTTGCGGCACTCTCCTGGTCTCCAAATTACAGTTCCTGCCAAGACACGTCCTAGGCTGTTCTACATGACTGTTGAGCAATGTCTGTCTCCATTTCCCGAGATACAGCAACAGAGAGAGGACGAGGTTTACAAAACAGAACAGTGTCCAGGCTTGGACCTTGATGGTGAAGAAGCAATATCCTTCACAATACAGACTAGGGCTGACCAATTCCACAAGAGGGATTTCTTAGGAATCCAGAATGTTTGAAAACAAAATCTAAGCATGTAAAAAAATGGATCTAGAGTTAAAACATGGCTACTGGCAAAGCTGTACAGCATTAACTGCGGGGTTTTAAAACTCTGAAAGTGGTTCACAACATCTCTTATTATACTAAGCCCTGCTACTTTATCCTTGTTGCTGAAATGAAATCAGAAGTCAAATGTTCAAAAGTACTATGAAGCAAAGCTTATAAAAGCATACTGCAGTGAACATCAAGATCTCCCAACACAGAAAATTTGTACAGAACATTTCTGAATATTATCAGAAACAGTACTTTAACTGCAAGGAAAAGGACTTACCATCATTAAGAAAAAATAACGTGCCTGTGAAGAGTACCTAGAAGGGCTCAGTGGGAGCATTTCTAGAAAATCAAATGCCAAGTGTTATCACATCTTTGAAAACAGCACGTCAGCAACTGTACTTCACTCATACTGACGGCAGGATCTTCCCCAATCACACAGGTCGCAAAGATATCCGTCTCTCAAAGAGCAGACGTTTATACCCGTGCTGGATGGAACGGAGCACAAAGACAGGCGATCCAGAGCATTCTGCACATTCCGAGGAAAGATTTCAAAGCAGGACCTTACCACTACTGCACAGATTTAACGAAAACCCAGATATTTGAGATATGAAAGTACTTTCCCTTCAGGATGATGGAAATATGAACGGTAAACTTGATCACATCCTGACAGTACTGTACTAAAGACCATGTACTGAATTAAAAGACCAGTCCCGCTCTTCAATTAATTCACCCACTAGCAGGAATTGTAGAAACAGCACACTTCATTTTCCATGCTATCCAATGTACTCGTCCATGTACTGCTACTCTGACTACAGCAAGCTCTAGTGAGCACAGTCTATGTTTTAATGTCCCATGTCACTGTTTCAAACTACACCCAAAGAGGGATCTTGTTTGTTTAAAGTTGCTAAAGACAGCACTGCTAATCCCATCAGCAAAAACAGAAGCAAGATAAGCACAACACAGACAGAAGTCAAAAACTGAAAACCATCTCTGAGCAGCTCCTACAGACACAAAGCAAGTCTTACTGTTTAACCAGCGAAGTGCTGACTTATTACATTGTAAGTAAGATTCACTCAGTTAACATTTAATCTATCATACCATAAAGACACAGGGTCAATACTCCTTTGCTATAAAGAAAATACAGCATCCTTTTTGGCAGTTCACCCACATATATCTCAGAGCAAGGGTTTCAAATGTATCTCAGTGTGGACTCCCAGTTTAAAAAAAGTGAATAAAAACCACTCATTATGGAATATTAAAAAGCTTAAACCCCTGTTGAAGAGCAGAGCATAGCGTCTCCAAAAAAATAACTACCCAACTGCTTATTTAAACGTAACTATTTAGGCTGCCCTTGTTGTCAATAAATCAATTGAATGTTTACCATTCACAAAAGCCTTTAATATTTTACTAAGCTTGGGGCATAGGACAATTAGAATTGTAGAATTCAAATCGGGTCGTTTTTTGGAGATTCTGTGTATATTAAGATATGATGCTAACAACCCTTGAACATCTTTTAAAGTTAAGGCAAAACAAAAATCCAGATTCTTTTAATACTCTTGTATTATCTATAAATGATAAAACAGCATCAGAGATTAAAGTGATATCTATATATTTACTTCAAAGGTAACCTTTCTGGAGTTTCTGAAAGGCATTGCAGTAAATAAAAGACCTTTTATACCCCACATAAAGCATGGCCAGAGTTCAGCATGTTTAAAGATACAAACAGAACAATATTACAAGTATCAGATATTTTGAAGGTCAAGGTGTTCTATGCAAATACTTATATTGAACAAAAATAAGACAGATTTTGACTCAAACACAATAACCTTCTTAATTGTTCTCATTTAATAATGCAGGAAAAAAATAAATCAAAGACACCTCTACCCCATCATATAGTGGATGATATTTTGTCATATTGATTCTTTCCTGAGCTGGCCTGGCTCTTTTATCTATTGAAACAGCAAGCACTAACTTGCTCAGTCAATGATACATGATGATTTATTCAGAAAGTGCTTTCTCACATAACTCCGTCACATGCAAAAATAACATTTAAAACTGAAATTTGTATTTAAGCCTCTTTTAAACAGGAGAAAAATAATGATCCTTTTTCATAACGTGTATGGCATGCAATATACAGTGCTGAAAAAAGTTGGTGAACTTCCAATATAATCATGGAAATGATCATTTATTACCATAATAACATTGTTCAATCAAAAAAACAGGCCTTTCCTAAATAACCAAAAGGGTTTATATTTTTACCAGTTATACATTTGCTAAGATGTAATGGAATATAAATTAGAAAATAATTCAGAATCAGTGTAAATGAACCCCTAGTTCACTTCGCACAATTAAGTGGGTAATTAAACAAGGGTCAAGTCTGAGCAGCTCGATCCTACATAATGGTCAGAAGGTTTGCGAGTGTGGTTCTACGGTAAATGAAAACCTTTCTCAATCAAAAGGGAATTCAGAGGAGCTCAAACCCAGTGGAAGGCCACAAAACCGTATATAAACATTTGGAACTCCATCCATTCAGTCAGTCTCGAAATGGAAAATATTTAGCACCGCGGTGACTCTACCCAGAACCGGTCTCCCTGCCGGGATCTCTCCAGGAGTAACTGGTCCATCATCCAGGAAGTCACAAAGAACTCCAGAGCAACAACTATCAAAGAACCAGCAGATCTCTCGTGCTGCAACGAATGTCTCTCCTGTCCATGCCTCACCCATCAGGAGAAGACTGAGCCGGAACGGTTTTTCATGGCAAGATGGCCAGGAAGAAACCACTGCTTCTTGTCATCATTGATGAAATCATGGATTCAGTGTTGCATCAGCAGATTCTGAAGTCCATTCAACAGCAGGAGCCGAGCCGAAAGTGGGTCATGCAGCAAGAAAACAGTCCAAAACGTCCGAGTAGCTCTACAGGAGAAAGGCTGAAGAAGAAACAACAATTCTCCTCCAACTCCAACAACTCCTTTGGGCTGGCCAATTCAAAGCCTAGATCTAAACCGCGGTGAAATCGAAACCCCCCAAATGTCAGCGGAATGAAGCGGTTCTTGAAGTAAGATTGGGACAATATTCTTAAAAGCCAATGAAACAGACGAATAAACAGTTACAGAAAATCTCTGGAGGTACCACCAGCCAGTGAATCAAAGGCATCATAGGAAGTACTTATTTACGAAAGAATATTTACTGTTGAAGGAACAAGTAATATGCTTATTCCATCCTGAAAAAAGAAGAAAGAAAACACAACGTTTTGGCCGGGAAGCCTTCCTCAGGTGTGAGCTAATCTGTTACTTACTCTGTTAATCTGTTAGCTTTACTGTTGAATATCATCAGATAACCCAGATATAATTTACATCTTTGCATTTTAAATTGAATGAGGGTTATCTTCATCTTTTATTAAGGACTTTCACAGAAAACCCAATTACATTTTATACTACATCTAAAACACACAAGAATATGAACCAACCTATGGGGTTCAAAAATTTTTTATGCTCCTGGAGCTAATGAATGAGTTAGGTAGAGATTAATAGTGAGCAATTAGAATTTGGCGTAATCACTGCCAAGTTATATGCAGGACGAGCAATGTCACCATGCCCAGTGCAATCCAGTTCCTTATTTCTGACTGTTTTTTAGTTATGTACATTTTGAGAACTAACATCAGCCACGGCTTTAATCAAACAAACAAAGAACAAAGGTTTCGGTCTGCTTTCTGAAAGCTCAGGAGCAAACCTTGCATTGTAAAGT